CCCACCCCCCCCCCCCCCCCCCCCCTTCCCCGGCCCGCCCCGCCCCAAACAAAAAAAACAGAGGAGTTCTTAGCGCATATGGTTTTAAGTCTTTAGGAGCTTTAGGGCAATTTTAGAGCCCCAAACTCCTTGTGAAATAGACGAAAATGTAATAGTACAATCACATAACAGATTTATGGATACAAGTCTCAAAGAGATTGTAACTTGTAAGACATTAAAATGCTTGAAATCCCAAATATCATTGTAAGAAACTAGAAGTCTATACTAGAAATGATAGGCAAAGTCAACAAGGCAACATCAAAAAGCAAATACATCAAGTCATCAACCAAACATGTAAATATATCGTAAAAGAAAAAAAAGGAAAAGAAAAAACACATGATTCGTAACATAGTAGCAAAATAAAATCAAAACCCTCTTTCAAATATGCAAAAATATCAAAATCAAATCGATGTAGGTGAAAATTTCGTCTATTGGGTCGCCGAAAGTCCTCAAAATCAACTACTAGAAGTTCTAAATCCACCCACGAACTATGGCGTTTGTTTTGGGAAGAAATTGCAAAAATCAAAACTTCATCAATCTTTCAATAAATCACAAAAGAGTAGTTCTTTTTAGAGTTTTTCTCACCATAAAAGCCACGGTTTTTGTTTTGGGGGTTTAGAATAGCCCCCAAAAAAGAGTAGTTCTTTTTAGAGTTTTTCTCACCATAAAAGCCACGGGTTTTTGTTTTGGGGGTTTAGAATAGCCCCCAAAACCCTTTTTTCCCTATTTTAGGGACGAAAAATGACATTTTTTTTGCCCTTTCGCAAACTATTACTGGGCGATGCCTAAGCGGGCGCCCAAACTGTAGCGCCTAGGCGGCACCTGGAGACAGGTCGCATAATTCCATTGCCTAAACAACACCTAGGCGTTTTTTGAAATTTTTCGACTAAGCGGCCGCCTAGGCGGTCGAGCGGCCGAATTTTTGAACATTGAATGGAAGCAAGTTCACATCAACAAGCTTGGAAAGGTTTACCCAAATATAATTTTAAGATCCTATACCAACCAAATGGTCATTAATCAGACCAATGTGATTATAAATGGAACTATGACACCCATGCCTTCTCTGTCAAGAATATAGACTATAAAGTCAAATACACAAGCAGGACAGTGGAGCAGGCAAATCGAACTAGCCAGCGATATTTACGCATTCATAACATGAAATACAGAGTACAACCAATCTACATCCCACTCTTAGTTAGCATTTCTTCCTAAACCCTCAACTCTAATGTAAACCTTTTCCCCTCCTACCCAAGCATCTTTCGACCCCCCCACCTCCATTCAAAGTTGGGCTAAGGAGCAAATTCAAAATCCTATTCAGAATACAAATGCTTGTAGAACCATAGCTCAAACCCTTTTATTTGGGGAAAAACAATGTTTTGATCAGCATCCTTCATTTCTAGAATCAAGAACCATAGCTCAAACCCCTTTATTTGGGGAAAAAACAATGTTTTGATCAGCATCCTTCATTTCTAGAATCAATCTCCATGCATTTCTTTGTTTCTTACCCAGACAACACTGACCTTTTCTCTTAAAAAAAAAAAGGTTCTTCCATGCATGAGAGCAATCTTTGAGGAATTACTTATCCCACGAAATTTTCTTCCATTTGCTTAACAAAGAACATTTCTTCCATTTGCTAGACCAATCTTCATGGATTTCTAACCCCAAACAAAAATGACTGTTCTTGAAGCAAAAACATTCATACATTTCCTTTAAAAGCATATCGAATCCAGGCCTAAAGGAACACAGCTATTTTCTAGGGTACCCAAACTTCAGCAGCGAACATAAAAGAAATGTATCCACAGTTGTAGATGTTCTATTATTCAACAAGCTCTGCAGCCATTGGTCAATGCAACCAAAAAAGAGCTGACCACTTCCTCAAGGAAAACTTTCTCACTGAAAACAACTGAATAAGAAAATGAGGGTCCAAGTCTCCACAAAAAGAGTATTAACCAAAATGAATACATTTATTAGTAAGAAATTGATCACATCAAATAACAAACAAGAAACATCCTTTATAGTAAATACAACCACCACTAAAGATCTCCTGTAATATAGTAACATCCCAAGGAAGCCCATCATTAGAAAGTGTATTATGGTTGTCACTTTGTAACAGTACATTCAAGAGCCTGCGATCTAAGGAAAAAGGAATAGACATGTCCCATTTATTATTCAAGAAATATGATGCAATTCCTCAAGTGAGTGAATGTATCAAAACTCAGATATCTATAAATGGTTTTGTTCATGTTTCTTCATGTCTCTTACCTTTTCAACATAGGAGCGAACCATGTTTTCAATATCCCCAACAATACTCTCCGGCTGTCCCTCTGCAGATACCCAGCTTCTCTTAATATTTTAACAAACTAACAAGAAAAATTTGTATCCTTGCAAAGAACAGAAAATCAGTGAACAAATATAAAGGACCACTACCTATAGCAACCTTTGTGAGACCCGGCAGATCTATGAGTGTCAAGTTGACAACTGTGAATCAAATAATCAACAAAAGTGTATGTCAAAAAGGGGAATCTAACATGTGTGTGGTTGAATAATTGAAAGGATACAAACATTGGGAATGGAAAAGAGATTCACATTGAACATCAGTACAATGTTAACACACCCACTTCAGAAATTGCTCATTCAGAACATAATTAGAGACATATATGCAGAGAGAACGTATTTAATCACTAAAACTTACAGCAGCCTATGTGACGATGGTGAAAAACTAAAATCATGTTGCAGAAGATGTACTGCAGAAAGCTTCCATGTTTTGGTGGGAAAACAACATTATCACTAATGTAATACACACACACACACACACACATGCAGAATTTGCCAAAGCATCTGCAATGCCAGCAGAAGTGGGTGGTATCTTCTACCTAGGGCATGGTGCTTGAGCAGCTTGCCATATATTTGAAGTACCCCTCCAAGACAAATTATTACCATTTAAGTCTGACTCAAAGCAACAAACGACTATGGCTCATGGAATACATGTTATGGTATAAAACAATTTCCCCTTCAAGCAATTACTTGCTTTTTAAATAAATAACATTCAATCTTTGGAAAATTAATTGCAATATAATTACCCAAAAAGGAAAAAATATTAGCAAAAAAGAAGATGGCTCACCAAATTCCCTCCTGAAAGCAACCCATCAAACATACAATATTTTTGGCCCTACCCATTCCATGTCACCTATTCCTTCCCTGCAAAATACAAGTATCTACCCTCCCAAATGCACCTTCAAAAACCCATATTACCCTCAAGACCACTTTTTTTTTCCAGCCAATAAAGGAATTCTCAAAGAGGACAGAAATAAAAAGCAGTGACGTTGACAAAATGCTGACACATAATCCCCGTAAAGAGAGAATAATGTGCCGGTTTTCATTGCATACACTTCAGGAATCAGGCCAATATTGCATTTGAATTATTTATGAACTGTTTATTTTCTCAATGGTGTATACTATAGCCTTCTTTTTTCCTTTGAATTATATATGAACTGTTGATTTTCTCAATGGTGTATAATATAGCCTTCTTTTTTCCTTTTTTAGTGACTGATCACTCATGACACAAGATACATATACACCCAACCAATCACAAAGCCAAAAGCAAACTCACCATTGGGAGAATAGATGCTGAGATGTATAGGAATTGGAGATATTTGTTTTGACTTTCCTGTCATCCTGTCGGTTTCATCCTGAATCTCCTTGCGTACAAGAGCTGTATAAGCACACCAATATGTTCAAAGGCGAAGCTCAGTTAAGAGTGACAATTGGAAGGGAATAAAACTCGAAAAAAGATGTTAAGAGGTATTTTTTCACAAGAAAAATTTGAAAATATAAAATGTCAGTGTAATTTTTTTGGTGCAAATGATGCAAGGTATTAAAACCATAACAGACTATGGCAGCACCACTTAAGCCCAGAAGTATAATAACTATGAAGAGCATGATAATGGTTCATAGGCACATAGCAAATGCTGCTATCCAATATCGTATAATGTTTAGCTTCCACGCAAATTTTGGTTCCATTTCCATTGGAATACAGAAAAGAACAGCCTTCCTCATTCTTTAGTGCCCACTATTGTCCAAGGTCATCAAAAACATCATCCTAGGCATATAAAAAGCACCAATCACATTCAAATTAGCGTGAGGCATTGTCTGGGAGCATCTTGAAAGGAGCTCAAGAATTATTTATGAAAAGAAAAAGTATCACCTAATAATCTCTCCAGAAACTGCAAGCCCCCGAGAGTTTAAAAAAAAAGGCATTGTTATACAAACATACAATAATTACATCGTATCCACATATGAAAACAATAAAATTGCCAGAAAACAATTAGAAATGCATCACTACAAGTTACCAATAACAACTATACATTATAAAAATTGCATAAAATGCAAGCTATCTAAAAAAAAAAAACATCAATTGCGAATTAAAGTTTCAAAATTTTCACCGAAACACAAAAGAAAAGAACAAAACATCAATATCTACAGATTGTCTTACCATAATTCTCACAGAAACTGCAAATAAGAAGCCCGTTCAAGAGAATCAACATATTACAAAAAAGAGAATGACATATTTCTAGGGATGAAAATACAAAACTACAGAGAGAGGGAGAAAGAGAAAGTGATACAAACCAAAATCAGTGAATCTCCTCTTGGTTAGGTGGAGGAACTCAGCATACTCAGGCTGGCCTTCCTCTGTCTTGTGAAGCTGCAAAACCAATGGCCTCCTTGTAACAATACCTATCGCCGCATCAGTTCAAACATGACCACAACAAACATCACCACCATTTCTAGAGAAAATCAAATTCAAAAAGGAAATCCAAGCAATCTCTCAAAAGCACAAACATCACCACCACTCTAAAGAGAAGACCAAACATAACTAAAAAGGGAAGCGGATCGCTCTCTATCTCTCTCAAACTGGACAAAACAAACAGGACAAACAAAACCTCACCCGATCCACGAGGAAGAAAATCCCTTCCAACTATGCTTTCCAAAACTGAAGATTTACCAGAACTCTGCACTCAAACCATACACTCGAATTCAAAAACCAAGCTACGATCATAACCTTGAAAGCAGAAAAGAAGCCATAAAAAGAAGAAGAAGGTCATGAAGATGGTCCTTTTTTTTGCAAAGAGTTGCAGAAAGACCTGGCCGCCAACCACCGCAACAGAAGGGAGAGCTTCCCATAGGGTGGGTAAAGAGTTATCCCCACCATAGTCACCGAGAACAGTGCAAGCTCTCTGAATCCGATTCACTAGGCCGATCAAGCTCTCCATGGTCGTCATTTTCCAAAACCCTAGAAATCACAGGAAACACAAGGCCCTGCTACAAAAACCTTCGATGAGAGGAAGATCGCCTGAACCCTAGGCCCTTCACAAAAAAAACTTCGGAGCAAGAGAGAGAGGGCTGGTAGAGAGAGAAAGAGAAATGGCGCAGAGTAAGAGAGAGAAAATGGGGAAGAGGAAGGTAGCGTGAAGAGTGAGGGAGGGGAAGAGCGTTTATGGAAAGAGTTTGAAACGCTCGGAAGGAGGGAGGGCCCACACTGGTCCCAGTTGGCAGAGTCTAGAGAGAGAGAGAGAGGAGAGAGAATGTTTTTCTATTTTCATTTATTTAATATTTTTAGATTGTACCGAGGCCACCGCGTCTAAAATCAAATTGCGTTGGGCGGGGCGGGGCGGGGCGGGGCGGGGCGGGCCTTCCAACTGCCGAACCTCACCTCACCGCAGACTTCGATTTAAGAGTGAGTGAGAAAGAGGGAGAGTGCCAAAGTAGAAAGATAAAATATCGGGCTGGGTCCCACTGCAGTCATCACTCGTCTTCTTGGAGGAAATGACCAAAACACCCCGGTTTTCAAAGACGTTCACTTCCACAAATGCCCTTAGACTGGTCCCAGTCCCACGAGCCCCAAGACGTTTTGAATTGGGATCTATCCACTTAAAAAGAGGATTGTCAGCCGCCCTCAACGGCTCTCCATTGCTAGAAGTGGCAATGGGTTAGGTCTCTTTTAAAAAATTAGGGCTTGGGCCTAGTGTTAGAAAAACTGGCCGTTAGAGCAGGAACTGCTAGGGTTTTGATTCCAATTACGAGTGGTTTTGGGGTTCTAGTATGTATGCAAAAAAAATTATGATCCAAAACTGGCCGCTGAAATATACCCAAATCATTCGGTATTTTATCTAATCGATAGGGGTTCTTTAAGCTAATAGGACCGCTTTTAGAAAAAATGGTATTTAACGTTAAAACCATTGGTTTAAAAAGCGGATCGTTGATCCGAATCGGGTATCTCAAAAACCGATCCGGATCGGTGAATCGACGATTCGAATCGAAAATCGGGTGAATCGGTCAGATTAAAGCTTCAAAAAAATTCGAAAAAATTATTAAAATTCATTATAAATATTGTTTTTTAGGAATTCAATAAAAAATGAGGGTACTCCATTAAGAATTTTCATTTTTTTGCATGAATATGCGAATATTGATATGTTCTTTCCCTGCACGAACTACTATTTACCAGTTAATTTACGTCACACAAGAGGATAAACATAGAACTATCGTGGAATAAGTATATCAACATACATGGACTACAATAACGCATACAATTTGTAACATATGATCTAAAAATAACATGACAGACGACGTCGTTATTCTTCTTGGTCACGCTGGTGCCATTGATTGAATTTGTTCGACAATTCATTGATTCGATCTAAAAACGAATCATCGATATTAGCAGGCGTCTGACTATATCCAAATCCCTGAGTGTTAGTGTTATGTTGTGTTCCCAATCCAAAATCCCCGAAGCTTGTCCATCCTTCATGCTCACCTATACTGTCGTGATCATCCCTACCCTATTGCTGTTGAGACTCGATATGTGAATAATATGGTTGGGATAGGGTGGCCTCGGAATCATTATCTCTCTCATTTTCCCTTAGACCCCCTTCCCACTCTCCCTCATTAGGTACAATATCACAGACATCTCCGACGAATTGTGGATACGTTGACTAACTGCTTCCTCTTTCATGCTGCTCATCACCTTCTTCAAGATCTTCCTCACCGATAGCCTCAAGGAACGCTCTCTTGTGTAACACTGGCTCATCCTCTTCTACTACCCATTGGTCTGTTGTGTTTGTGACAAATATTGTGTCTAAGTCTATCGGCCCAGTCTTCAAGCTTCCTTCTTATTTGTGGCTCACGGAGGTTTAAGTTGTAATGAACGTAGACTAGTTTATGAAGCTTCTCCGAAGCGAGTCGATTTCTCCTAGTAGTGTGCAACCATTAGAACGTACTGCAATTGCGCTCACAACCAATAGCAGAACATGTTTGGGAGAGCAACTTGATTGTTATCCTCTTTAGGTGAGGTACATCAGTACCATATATCTCCCACCATTCAGTTGTATTAAAATGCAAAAAGCATTGTAAGGGCAAGAACAATTCATAAGATTAAATATAAGAATGAACAAAATATTAGTTAGGGATAACCTGGATCCATCTTAGTTCGAAAATTCTTGGCAAGGCTAGTTCTAAAGGATCCTATAACATCCCTATACATATCACGCTAAAATAAATATATTTCGTTTTAGTGTATTATTCATTACAAATATAACAACTCAATAAAGTTCTTACCCAAACTTTAAATAATACCTCTTGTATTGCTGCTACTTGGTTTCGTTGGCTTCTCGCAATAATGTATCTGACCCCTTCCATAATCTTATATGGATGTTCAGGTGTTAAATAGAAAACTTTTGGGTTGAAGTAGTAACCTATAAAATATATAGATAGAAAAAATGTCATTTACAATTTCATAAAAAAATGATTTAAAATGAAACATTCTAATGATATAAATTTATATTTACCAGAATAATGAATTGGACGTCCAAATTTGGCGTTCCACCTCCATTATATAATCTCGATCACTTTGCTAGCAAAACTACACTTCTCCTCAATATCTGATTTCGCTCTTTCGATACCTTCATAAAAGATGCCCATGGTAGCTTTCTTGTCAGCATCCATCATTCTTAACACCGTGACCAAAGAGGCAGTGGCCTCTACGACACTGGAATATCGAGACCAGAACCTCCTATTTGAGACTATGCCGTCCACTTTTATACGGGTACTGGACTTTGAGAGACGGTCATTTAACCACTCTTCATAGGTAAACAATCCCTTTAATGCACCTTCATATTCCCGAATGGAGCCCACAGCTAAGTAATCGGTCGCAAAGCGGATTATGGCAGGCCTGATTATCTCTTTTTTTTTAGAGTGTTCTCTAAACAGAAATAATATTTTAGAGTGGTTGTATATAAATCTCGACACCAACCTTGCTTCCTCTAGAGTCTCCTTCACAATTTTGATCTCACCGATCTCCTCTAACATAAGATCGATGTTGTGTGCAGCACACAGGGTCCATACTAGATGCTTCCTCTTATCCATCAACTTGCTGCCTGCAGAAACACATGCACGCGCATTGTCCGTAATAAACTGGACTACATACTTATCTCCTACCTCCTCCACTATCTGATGATATAGTCGTATGTAGAAGTTTGCATCCTTCTTCGTCCCTGATACGTCTTTACTAGACAAAAAAGTTGTACCTTTTGGGGAATAGGCCAAGAAGTTTAAAAACTCCTTTTTGGTAACTTTATTCAACCAACCATCACTCACGAGAGTAATGCATGTCCTTAGCCAACTCTGTTTATATTCTTCAATCCATTTTGTAACTTCCTCTACCTCTTCATCTAATATTGGCCTACTGAGCTCATATGCCGTCGGGGGTTTTACCCCGGGTCCCGCTCTCTAGATTGCACTGACCATAGGTGGAAAATATGGGCTATTGGCTGCATCAAAGGGAATCCCTTTAGCGTAGCACCATTTACCAATATATCTCCCGAACATGTTTCTTGTACCTTTAACCATGCCTTTTAGGGTCATCTGTTGTGACTTAGGCTTTTAGAGAAATGGGTCTATACGACCATGACCTGTAATACTGACACTCCTAGATAAGCTAGGAACTATTTCTTTAACGTTTGATTCTTGGTTACACATACTGCCACCACCCCTCCATACATATTTGAGTTAGGCCCGCCATACATGCTCGACCTGGGCCCGTCATGCATGTCTAAGCTGAGCCGGCCATACATGTTTGAGCTAGACCCACCATGTATATCTGAGCTAGACCCATCGGGCATTCTAAACCCATGTTCCCTTTGATATGGTTCATGTAAACTCATTCCTGTGGACATGTTCAGGTCATTATTATATTGCTCTTCTAAGTCATTATTATATTGCTCTTTTGTATCATTTCTGCTTGATGGCGTATATAAATTAGCTATCTCCTCATTCATTCTATGTTTGGTAATTTTTTTACCTTTGTTAGCATTAAGAAATATCGTTATCTGTTATTTTACATTACTAGGGACACTACTGCATGCAGAAACACCTCCCTTAACCCCTGTCAAGTGTTGCTTGAACCTATGTACCCACTACTTGTCACTCTTTGACAGTAATTACAAATAATTTTATCTTTTTTGTTGGGATCAAGTCTGACCCTATGTTGCATGCAAGGTCTTCTGCAGATCATGACATGATTCAACTGTTTTTATATGTAAAAAGTTAAAAATTAATCTGACAGTTCAACAAGAAAATAATCACCATGTGTAGTGATAATATGCTGGGGTAGTTCATATAGTTATATTTGTTGTTATTTGTTATTGCAAAATACTTCTATTGACAATAATATTTTCGTACATATCAATTACAAACATGCAGGATAATATAATACAAAATGCAAGCTCCAAACATGGCTACAACTCAATTATCAAGAACATACATTTTTTGCATTAAAAAATTAATAATAAAATTGAAAAAATACAAGATAATGTAATTGTCATATATGCCGCGATTTTTTTACATTGATATTCACTTTAATTCCGCACGATAATACAATTTAACAACATGTATTTTTTACGTTCAAAATTTTAAAAATTGAAAATACATTTTTAATGCAAAACTACATTAAAAATAAAATACAGTTTTGCATTAGAAATATAATAACATGTATGTTTTTGCATAAATATTCTATCAACATGCAATTTTTTCAACAAAAACTTTAACAATAAAAATTAAAAATATGGTTTAATACCTCATGATAATCAAAACCTAGTCACTATTTTCACATCTTTTCGAAAAATCACAATTTTTTTAAAAAATCGATCATGTACTAAAAAAAAAAAACAAATAAAAACAATTCTTCACAGAGCCACCTAACATCAGTCATTCCAACTCAAAAAAGCATTAACAAGAAATTAAAAAAATACAATTTTACATTAAAAATATAATAACATGCATTTTTTTGCATAAATAACCTATCAACATACAATTTTTTCATCAAAAACTTTAGTAATAAAAATTAAAAATATGGTTTAATACCTCATGATAATCAATACCTGGTCACGATTTTCACATCTTTTAGGAAAATCAT